CATCCACCGTTTATGGCAAAGTATATCCGCTTTCGACCAGTGGCCTGGGAGTTTCGTATAGCTATGAGAGTTGAGCTATATGGCTGTAAAGGTATTACATAGATTGCGATATTTAAAAAATAGATTTCGATTTCGAGTTTTCTATGTTTCAACTGACTATTTGGCTCTTAGAAAACCAGAACAAATAGTCTAACTGTTTAATCGTAGACTCCACTATTTTCGGTTCTAAACAAAAGTCTCCTTTTTTAACAAATTGCTTGTGGTATGATATCCAGATCCCCATACATTGCTTGCAAAGGGTTAAACGCTTTCTAAAAAAAGTACGGGCAAGTCTCATTACTCATCAATCCACCAAGATATTCCCAACAATAATCCTAAATTTGCTTTGAAGTCTTGTGTTCAATTTTCAGCTTGTATAGAATCACTCGGCATGGAAAGTGGAACAATCACAGATGGACAAATAACTGCATCTTCAGAACTGAGCAGCGATCAGATAGCTAGCTTTGCCCGACTGAACAGAGTTAAAGAAGGAAATAGAGGAGGATCTTGGTCAGCTAAAACAAATGACGTAAATCAGTGGCTCCAGATTGAGCTAGGCAGCGAGTACACCAATGTCACACGGATAGCAACACAAGGAAGAAGTGATTTAAATCAGTGGGTGGAAACCTACAAGCTTCAGTACAGCGATGATGGGGTTAATTATCAATACTACAGGGAACAAGGAGCAACAGAAGACAAGGTTGTGTATAACTTTAGCTTGCGAATCACAGGCTCGCATAATTTATCCTTCAATTAAAGCTTTTCATGATTTATATTTACCCTATTCTGAGACTCCACAACTTTAAAATGTTTTCAGATAAATTTTATGAAACGTGGTTAAGTTTGGTGGTCATAGCTCGAACGATTTTGAAGTAATTCAACTTTTAGCGAGGAGAGGCCTCGGTCCGCTGAATAGGGTTAGTGAACATCTAGAAAACATCCGCTAACTGTCACTGTCGGCAGAGAAGGGATTATCATACCTCCAAATAGTTGATAACGCAAACGTCTGTAAAATTCCGCCACTGCGGAGCTATATATATCTTCGGTTAGTTTTAAACAAATCACTTTCAAACTAGGGAACTTTACTGATTTTAAGGCGTTCGTTTTAGTAATGTGTTGAGTGATTTTCTCTGACTGGTTCCAGATTGAAAAAGTCCGCAGAATGCTCTTTTATTTGTCATAGAGGGGTTGAAGGGACCAGAAACCGGTCCCTGTGCGATTCTTAAAAGGATTTTGTGGTGTTAAGAAAATAATAAAACTTTGTCTTCCATTTTTTAGCTATTTCCTGGTAATTCTGATCAGAATACCATTGTTAGCCATTACCTTGATCCACCAATACTGGCACCGTATATCCGCTTTCTACCGGTTACCTGGAATAAGCACATTTCAATGAGAGTAGAGTTATACGGCTGTACTGGAGGTAAATAGACACCTAATTGCAATAAAGTTGCCATATTGAAAAATGCCGAAAGAAAAAATGAAAGATATAGAAGGTCACATACGAATAGGCCCTTTGCAGCTGGTCACTCACGTGGTAAAAAAAACGTCATACGGGNTTGTGGTGTTAAGAAAATAATAAAACTTTGTCTTCCATTTTTTAGCTATTTCCTGGTAATTCTGATCAGAATACCATTGTTAGCCATTACCTTGATCCACCAATACTGGCACCGTATATCCGCTTTCTACCAGTTACCTGGAATAAGCACATTTCAATGAGAGTAGAGTTATACGGCTGTACTGGAGGTAAATAGACACCTTATTGCAATAAAGTTGCCATATTGAAAAATGCCGAAAGAAAAAATGAAAGATATAGAAGGCCACATACGAATAGGCCCTTTGCAGCTGGTCACTGACGTGGTAAAAAAACGTCATACGGGAGCGCGAGATATTCACCGGGAGCACACAAAGAGAGGAAATTAACATTTTATATTACTGTTTTTTTAAAATATTTCTCTGTTTCTGATTGGCTAAAGTCACGCATAATTCATCATAAACAGTTATTGTTGACCAAATTTGGAAGACGTTTGCGATGTTGAACTGATGATGTCAATCGTGCAGCAAAATTGCAAGATTATTGAACCGTTAACCGAGAAAACCTGGGCACGAGGTTGAGTTGTTTTGGTAGTGATACAAGATGGCGGAACTTTTTACTCGTTTCGCAAGGAAGAAATAGGCAAACTTTTGGCTAAAAACAGGCCATAAATAGCAAGAAGACAACTCGACCGACGACATCTGCTATTTGGAGAATATTTGCAGAACTGAACAACCGTCCATCTCCTAAACTTGCCGACAAACATGCACTATCGAAGATGAACTTAACATCAATGGAGGTAAGCATAGTTTAGCTTGTTTTTAAACTAGGAATTATTTTGAATGAATAATTAAGCAATTATTTATACCATTATATCATATTCATTATTCGTATCATCTGAATAATTTTGGAGATCGAGGAGGGTTTATCCGCCGAGGTCGTACTCAGCCTCTTTCAATAACTGTTAAATATGAGCTCCTTGTTTTTTTCTGTCAAAGCGCGTCGCCATTCTCTCCAGCGTGGGACGCACTGTACCACGTGAATGACTAGCTTCAAAGGGCCTACTGGCCATGCCCACATAAAGTATCTCGTTGTTCTTAAAAATATACATATGGCTCAGGACTGATGATCAAATTTCTTCCATCCAGTAAAGCCCAAATGTTGATTTAATAAAGGGAAGTTACCATCACATGATAGAATTAATTCGGGAAAGTGACTTCGGCCTTCGTTGTTCCATGAACACAAGCCTTTGGGTGGTGACGTGAGCGCTGTGTATTATATAATAATAATAATAATAATAATAATAATAATACTATTCTTATTATTAACTATTATCATTATCATTGTATTATAATTATTATTATTATTATCATTAATATTATTATTATCATTATTATTATTATTATTATTATTATTATTAATTTGAGGCAATATTCTTTTAATTTTGTAAATCACCAACGTGATGCACGTTGAAATAAAACCAGTCTCTGTCCCTTCCAGTTGTACCCAGAAACAACCCGTACAGATGGAAGCAGTGTACGACTGGCCAATGGATAAGTAAGGAGGAAGTACGTCATCTTACTGTCCCGACACAATCTTGGCTTCAGACGCCATCAATAGTGGAAATACAGACAGGTGTGGTCTTCTTACTTTCACTGAGCATTTGAATAAGCTATGTCGCAGCATTTGCTTTCTTTTTAAAAAGCTAAAACGTGTCTTCGCATCAATTGAGTTCCAAAATTTAATGGTCCAGTTTTGTTATTTAGGGGCTATATTTAAGCATTGAAACTGTTTCCTGTCGTCTGGTGCAACGGATGGCAAAAATGGAAATGGGATGAACCTTGACCATTTGGTTTCTTTTTAAAAAGCTAAAACGTATCTTCGCCTGAACCTTGACTTTTTCAACTTTTAATGCTTTATGCCTGCCAAATTCAGCACTTGAAATTTGTTTGATAACATCTTTAAACTCTACAGGAACTAGAGAAATGACTAAAGGCACTAAAGTAAAGACTTCAGCCTAGAATTGACCTAAAACAGTAATATCCTCTTAACATTGCATTATTCAACTTTTGACCTGGACCAGAAAGCGAAAATCCGTCGCCGAATTTTTCAGACGGTTGTATGGTGGACAAGTTCTTGCCCCCCACCATACAAACGTCTGTAAAATTTCTCGACTCTGTGGATCAATATCTTCGCTTGCTTTTAGCGCATCGCCTTTAAACTTGGTGGGCCAGTTCTTTAAAAGGAGGTAAGCCCGTGTTTAACAAAACCGTGTTCTAAGCCATTTTCAGCAGTTGCCCAACGCTTTTATCTGAACGCTATTTATCGTGAAGAATTTCAATAAAGGATATTGGGTAGACTGGAAAAGCACGTATTTTTCTTAAATTAACCCACTAGGAAAGCGATCTGGAGGTCCAATGATTTCTTAAACGGTGGCTTAAGTTAGACTTCGTTTAAATAACTGACCCGGTAAGCTTCCTAATTTGTAGACGCTCTTTCCAGCAGTGTATATTTGTTAACAGGTCTTTATCAAGACTTGAAAAAAAAACCTGGAAGTAAGGGTCTATTAGTTGAGTATCAGACTATGGACCGGTAAGTTAGGGTTTAGTTCCCGAGTGTAGACCGATAATCGGAGTCTAAAAAAAACTAAGTAGCGCTTTGAATCACATCTGCCAATGATTAAACGATTATGGACCTCATTTTCGGATGAGGAAGAAAAACGTAGGTGCCTTTTTACAGCACTTCCCTAGGACGTAAAACAAACAAACAAACACATGACTATGGACGTATCAATCTCGCGCAATGACCATCCCTATCTATCAGATAAATATCCAGGGGCCCAGTTTGGTCCCATGAGGTACCCCTTAGGGGACTGGACCCCACTCTGGAAAAACAACCATGTGCTAACTTGAACCTGTGAGATCGATTCGACTGAAAATCGATAACAACAATTAATTATACTTAGCTTAATATCTAATTTACATAATTTCTGCAGCACTATACCATGATCGATAAAATCGAAAGCTTTACGGTGATATAACTGTAGAACTGTTCCCGTCTGTCTACAAGGACCAGTGGTACAGCATATTAATTAGCGCAATATTTGTCGAGGACCCTGGGGTGACCCAATATTGATTGTCTTCAATAACGCCCAAAAAAGCGGGTCTGAGGAAGTCCTTCACAACAAATTCCTCTGCCACTTTGGACACAGAAGGAGTGAGAGAGATCGGTCTCAAATCTTTCTTAATATCCTACAAGTAAATCTGATATTCCTCGTCACGGGACAACAACCCAAGTAATTTATTTATTGTTTATTTTATTTATTTACGTAGGCTACTATCGAGCTCTTGGTCGCAAAATCAATGCCAGATACCTAAAAGAACGACTGATAGAAAAGGACCCAAACTTCGGTTATTCTACAAGAACAACGATGGAGCTCATTCAACAACTAGATATCTTGGCAGACACTTTGTTCATCGAGGCAAGTTTATTAGGACGCTATAAATCGTTTAGAACAATTACTTTAGGCAAAAACCGGAAAGCATATGCCGATGGTTTTTGTTCAGGTACATCGCACGATGATAAGCATCCATCATCATGATTCATAATTTATAGTAACTGATTATTATTCTTTCTTTTTTGTAATTATTAATATCAAACCTTACAATTTAAATGTTTTGTTAAAATGTGTTCATGAGAAAGGCAGTTATCATGACGAATTAAAAATTTTTCATCATAAATAACATCATTGATTATAATTATTATTTAAACGTAAGTACAAGGAATTTGAAAGAGTTCAGGTGAGTGTAGTCCAGAGAAGAGCTCTTGTTAAAAGTGGTATGCAGTCACTGTCAACAACAGGCCAATTCAGGGTCTTCATTCATACCATCAAAATCAAACCAAATAAAGCCAATCTTATTTCGCTTTGATTGGTTAGCCTTGTTGCGTAGATATGATTACCGCGAGAAGACACGAAAAACTCTTTTTTGCGTTTGTAATTGCTAAATAATTCATAAACTGCGCCAATATGTGCGGTTCCTGATGGTTACGCCCATTTACTTATAAAGGCTTAGCTATGCACTAGTACAGTTGGACGAGATAATGGATGTTTTACTTTCTTCTTAGAAATATCTAAGGATCTACCTTCTTATCTGCTACTTAATTTCGCGTTTTAAAATTAATCCCCGCGAAATTTAAGGACGCGAAATTAAATACTCATATAGAAAATTCAAATCACAGAAAAAAATATTAACTTGTAATAGAAACAACATACACAGGATATGTATCAACCATAAAACTTGTTAACTGGTTTTACTGGTAAGCTAGCCTGTTCCAGGCTCCGAGATGGTGGTGGAAAGTCGTTCAGTAATAAGAAATGCGAAAAACGCGCGGGGGCTGGGGAGAGACATCGCCCCCTTTCCCAAGTCGTGCCCGTCTTATTTTCGCTTTGCTCGTTTTAATACGTTTCCACTATACTATCTGAGAGCCTGGCACAGGCTACTGGTAAGCTACGTTGTGTGTCTTCAGTAAGTGAAATAACGTCAATTTATACAGAAATTTGAAAACTTTCAGACTTTTTTTAAAAAATAAAATGAAATGAGAACGCTTAAAACTCGAAAATAAACCCCGCCAAATATTTTTTCCCCAGAATCGCGAAATTAAGTACCAATAAGATACCAGTTAATACGACTCTAATGTTTAAACCATTTGCAATGCTATCACACTTATAATCGTTACTGTACACAAAAAATGTAACTTTTTATTTTTTCAACATCAGTTATTAACTGCGATCATGATAAGCCGCTGGTTTTCATAAATAATTCACAAAATAGTCAGAAACAAGTAATGAACGTACTTCTTCCTTGCTCAAAACGCTAAATACGACATACCAGTTGACATATAACTTTAAATACAGTGGAACTTCTATTCAGGGGACTCCCTCAGGACCAAAGTAAGTGTCCCTTGATTAAAGGTATCCACTAAATAGAGGTTGGGTTGGGGTTTGTTAACAATTAACCAACAAAGGAAGAATAAAGGAATCATCATTAACTCATCTCTGCAGCATAATATGTTGAATTTACACAAATGTGTTTCATCAGTTTAAGTAAGATAGCTCAGTTTGTGAAAGCTTCCATAAGGCTGAGATTAGTATGCGCTTAAAGACATCAACCCTCTTTGTGGTCAGTCACTTTTTGAGTGCCAAGGTGTCCCCTGAATGGAGGTTAGACCCGGGTTTCGGGCCCCAGAAAAAGTGTTCCTTTCCACTCTTGCATAAAGGTAATATATAAATACAAAGATTATGTGGAGGTTTTTCCAGGACCAAATTTTGTGTACCATGAATGGAGGTGCCCCTTAACTAGAGGTTTCCTAAATGAAATATTCCACTGTATTATTTCTTGCAGGGTGAGGTTGCAATCTACGGCGTAAGAAATGTTAAAATATACGCTAGAGAGATCATAGCCGCTGAGACAAGTAAGATCGCTTTCATCACGCCCGATTGGGAACAAGAATTTCCCCCAATAGGCCTTGAAAGTAACGGCGATGGATCTAACGGAGAAAATGGAAATAGTGGCGAAGCTGGACCCCAGGGTGAGTAAGCCTTGCTTTGGAACGTATCAAAAACTCAAGGGGGTTCCATCAACCCCCCACCCCCCACCTTGTACCAAGGTGGGGGTATGACTGCGTGCACGTCCGAGGGTTAATAGGCACCATTTGTGGGCCAAGAATCAATGAAGCGGAACTAAAACAATAGAGAGGAGAAGTTGTACGTCATGTTGCCATGGTAGCAAAATTTTTGGATGACAACAAACCGAAAATTCCCTTAAAAATAAATTCGCACTGTTTCAAACTTCATTGATCTTATTCAATTTCGTTTAATTGGTCAAATTTTGGCACTATTTTGTGGATTTAATCCGAAAGAACCCCATCTGAGTTTAGAAAAAGAAAGAGAATTTTTTTGTGTTGTGTTCACCTACTCCGCAAAGCGGGCGCGTGAAATTAGGAAGTTTCATGTTGCAGTCGTGCAACGACAGCTAAGAAATGTACAAAAAACGCGTGATGCACGTGCAAAGTTGTTGTTTTGCTAATCTAAACCTATCGGTTTGTTTTTGCGGTTCTCGTTAGTGTCGCCGTCGTCGTTGCCTAATCTCGGCCCTATTGCTGTCATCCAGAAATTTGGCTACTATTTTAACTTGACGTCACACATCTCCTCTCCATTTGTTGGAAAATGAAAGTGGCAGGAAATAGAACTTGCATATTTACGTTAAGGCTCAGAGATGGGATTGGGTTCAACAGCACTGCACTAACTACTATTAATAGCTCCTAGGACTATAAAATATAATAAATATATAATTTTAAAAAAATTATATTCTATTTAATTTTATTTTCAGTCGATGTAATCTGCGAAAAGATAAAAGGAAACCTCATTGTCAGTTCACAAGGAGGAAACGGACACAAAGGACAAGATGGTGTGGGTGGCCGCAAAGGTTCTAATACCCCTGACGTAAGCTTCTTTTAGTTGAACCCGCAGCAGTCATGAATTTCTCTTAAATTTGACTTCAGTCGTAATGTTATCCAATTCACAATTTAGAAAAACTGATACGAAATCGTTACAGAATAAAAGAACTACCAGGACTACCAGTTCACCCTAAAACTGCAAAGTGAAAGGCTTTTTAGGTTAAATGGTAATTTATGGTGTTCTTCTTTACATCCCAACAAATCCCATAATTTTGCCACTTTAGTGTTTTGCACGCCATCCTCTTAGAGCTCGGTTGTCAATTGGATATGGAGCATTTTCACCTGACGTCACGTCCACCATATTGGTGTCCCAAAACAATGAAACAGCGGCCATGTTGGTGCCCCAAACCAATCATGTGGGAGTTGAGCCTTTTTCTTAAGCAAAAACCTTCTTTAGTTCCAATAAATTTGCAAGGCTGCTGGTAGGACGCGTGAGTAAATATGCTCTACAGAGCGTTTTCACTCACATGACAAGCATCTATGCAAATTTATTAAAATAAAAGAAAGAGTTTACATAAGAAAAGAGATCGACTCCCACCGGATTGGTTTGGAACACTAACAAGACCGCCGTTTTATTGTTCTGGAACACCAATATGGCCGCCGTGACTCTCTATTTAGGCTCCGTCCACTACAGTCCGGGTAACGGTGACTGTTCTAAAGGGTGGAAAAGGTGATTTTACAATGCCGCTATTTACTCCTCATAAACAATCAATGGATGTACATAAAATTTATACCTCTCAGTAAATGTCTCAAAGACTTTGTTAAAAGAAAAAGAGGTAGGATATCCTCTGTTTGCTCCCGTGCCCAGAAAGTAAATTAATATTCACGAATAAGGAAGGCCGCGTTGTAGAAGTCTCAGTTTTGTTGTACTTTGTTGTGTTATTTCTTTCTTGCAGAAAGTTGACAATATAAAGCCTTGGCCGAGGTGTACTTATGGAAGCTATTGGGTTATTGGTGATGCTACGAGCGAAGACCATACGAAAGCATTCGAAAAATGCTCACGCCAAAATATAAACCCAGAAAAGGGAAACAGGGGAGGGGACGGAGGAAGGGGCGGAAATGCAGGAACACCAGGTGAGATATTTAACTTTCTATTTTCTTCTCCTTCCCTCACAAAAAGCGCTACCTTTACTATTTTCTTTTTCTATTTAACAACTAGATTATTATTTTGCATTGTGTCTGTTTACTAACTGTTCAAGTTATATTCATGTCCAATTCACTCGGGCTCAGGCGGGTCGATCAACACGTAAGTTTCCCTTTCGTTTACCGGATTTTGCTTACTGGCTTCATTGACGGATCTCAACGAATTGGCCTGGGGGTTGGGGCTAGGGGAATAGAAATATTAATTTCGAGGCTGGATCCCCATCTTATCACAGGAACTGGATGAGGTGGCTCCAAATACTTAAAAAACAGAATCCGCCTCTGGACTTTTAAAACGAGTGGGAATTAAAAATCTGAGTGATCTGCTATGCACTGAATTTCTTGAAAGATCGTGAAGGGTCTTACCACCCGACAAAGCTCAAGGGAACATGACTATATTTTTATCAGATTTCCTGAAGTGTTGAGCAATTACAAAAACATGGAAACATACAAAGCTATAAAGATGATTTCGCATGGTCAATGGCTTGATAAATTAATAATCTTAATAGGTTATGAGCAGCTTCACCTCAAAAATAGTAGGAGAAAAGGAGACAAATTTGGAAAGGGAATACGACAAATTGCTTTGAAGATTTTTAAATCAAATTCAAAGAAACTGACCTGGTAGAAATTTCATAACAACCTCATGTGGGAATTCACTGCTCCTGATCACGCGCACAGAAATGCAGAGATGAATCTGAAATCTACAACTACCAATGGATTCAACTTTCGAATGATAAATTCGTTAATAGAATCTTGGGGGCTGAGCTTGATCTGGCTTGACTGCGAATTCAAAGTATCACCCTGTAATGCCATCAAGGGAAACGATTAATTTAGACAAAAAGAAAATTCCCCACAAGATAGGGATTTTATCTTCTGCAGTTTGTAAATCATTGTAAGGCGCATTTGAGCTTTGTAAATGCGCCATATAAGAATGTATTTATTATTATTATTATTATTATTATTATTATTATTATTATTAAGTAATATTAAAAATAAATACTTAATTATCGATTCCCCTCATGGGCCTGTTCAGGGATAATGAAACAATACTTCAAATAGAACATAATACGTTTAAGATTCCTAACTGGTAGTAGGCGAATCAGTTGGCTAATTAAGAGCGTGGCCAATTATTTAAACTCGGGATTACCAAGAACAAATCCAGCCAGCGGTCAGGGCAGCACATGAACTCAGGGCTTCCGGATTAAAAGTCCATCGCTCTAACCGCTTGGCCACGCTATCTCCACAAAATAAAGGATTATAAGTAACGTTAAGTGTTTTACTTCAATACCTTACAACGTGTTCAAAATATTTACACCAGGAAGGGGTGGAAATTCGGGACGGATTACTGTTCAGTACAAACAATTATTGGGCGGCCTTAAAGTCAAGGCTTGCGGAGGACGAGGAGCGGAACCAGCAGAGAATGGAGAAGGTGGAAATGGTAGGTTCTTTGTAGCACTTGTACCTTCAGCCTGAGGAGGAGTAGGAGGAGGAACCGCAGTACTACTTTAGTGCGGTTTAAGAGCATTGATGACCATTACCTCGCAGGGTCAAACACGTGCTTCTGTCCGCGAGCCTTCCCAACTCTTGCGTGTTCTTTGTCGTGCTTTCTCTGTTCAATTCAATTAAATTCAATCAACTTTATTTAAACACAGTAAATGGCTCAGCAAGCTGGTTTTCAGACAAGCCGTGTAACAATTACAAGTTATAAATATTAAAACTAACAATAATTTACAATTTTCTGTTCGTATTCGGTGACGTGTTTTCTGTTCGCGAGTTTTTTTGCCTAGTCTGTGATTCCTTAGGCAGTATGTACACGTTCTCAAGCGCGAGAAAATCTTAACGTCACAAGAACATCTTGACGTATTTTTATGCTATCCTGCTCAGTGTGTTTCGTACTTTTTCTCGCGTCAGCGAAAACGTTGTTTATGTCATCAAATACCGAATAATATTCAAGTACAGAATGATATTCAGACACCGGACACTAGACCAAGCTTGACTGAATGTGACTTTAATTTATTGGAACCTCTCAAAGTCATCGCGAACATGTAACATTACGTCACTCTTTATTTTGAATTTTATTTGAACGTTACATTCCGCGTGATTTCTTTATTTTTTCGTAATGTTTCGTTTGCATATCTTTTAATTTTATCATTATCTAAAGATTTAGGACCTAAAGTGTACGAATCATATTGTTCAGTTAAGTTCATAAAATTGAAGTAAAATGTTAAGTGTTCCTTTGTACTTAAACCTTCACTAATTGTTCTTCTTTTATTTTTCAAGTAACGTCTTACCATTAACCTATTTGTTATTTAAGGTGGAAAAGGTGGTGCCGGAGTACGCGGATTGATATGCCTTACTAGCAGACAATCGGGTGAAGATTATTGGCTTTGCAGTGAACATAGTCGACCATCAGCCTCTGTAGGAGATACTGGTTCAAAAGGAGCTTCTGGAACTAGTAAGGAAATATAACGATGAATCATGTACAGGACTCGCAACTCAAGTGGATTGGGGCCTGAGCCGAGTTGTTTAGAAATTGCCGAGTAAGGACCGAGTTATAAGCGGAGTCTGAAAAAAATGGAAACGTTTTGATTCTTGCGACTCCGAGCTAGCTAGGTGTAGTAAAAATCAGATCGTCGGAATCGAAAGCAGAGCGGGTGAATAAGTCAATCACAATGCTCGTTTCCACACTTTGTGATTGCTTTAGCCCTTTCGTTTCTGCTTGCTACTCCGACAACTTAGTTTTTGCTATACTGTAAGGAACCGAGTCGTAAGCGGCACTAGGACGTTATTTTCAGCAGATCATAACGCTCTCCGTTGCACCGAAATTGTAGACAACACTAAAACAGGCGACGAATACTATAGCCTTCCCCCACCGGTACCGTACCACGGCGGGCGTATAATTTGTCATGTTCCCTCAGCAATTATCCCCTCTCCTCGTTTTCCAAAAACATCTGTCTAGAAATAATTTTTTCTATTTCAAAGAAAGAATAAAGTTTTCGGCCTCTATCGTTTTCATACTTCAATGCAATTTGTAACGAATTCTTGAAACTTTGTTAATCCCTTTTAGCTCCAAAATCTAGGGGACAGGATGGCGAGGTCAGCGAGTCTCATGTACATAAATCAGAAACAATAGGCGCACAAAGTGCAGCAGATTTTCCAGAAGAACTTCTTCTCGTCATAAGAAGGCAAGCTGTAGAATTGTTGCTAACATACACGAATGAGAGGAAAGGAAGAGACGCGCTGCAGTTTATTGTTGATGTGACAACTGGTCGAGAAGATGTTAAATATATAAAGCACGGTGAGCTTCCTGAAAATACCAGCAGCCCATAACCCGGAGCGAGCAACTCCCATACTAGGCCTATGTCACGGCGTTTTCACGAACCGGTTTATTTTTAGACACTTTTTAGAGGACTTTTTCCACTTTTTCTCCGTCTATGGGAGCATTCGAAGTATAAGATATCAGAAAAGAAAACTAAACGTCGTTAAAACTGAGTCAAAAATATCCTTTTTAGGTGTGTTGGTTTTGCCTGATCATGACTAGTTTGTTGGACTTAAAACATATTTTAAATTCGCGCCAAAACCGCTCTTAAAATAATTTGTCGGAGAGAACGTTGTGACACCAGTACATGATGGCTCCGGGTTATGAGGTCCTGAAAATACTTAGCTAGAAATACGTTATCGCAAAAATCTCGCGAAGCTCCAAAGAGTCAGGAGTGAGAATAAAGAGAAAAAATCCAAAGGGAAGTAAGATTAAAAAAAATAAACAGAGAAAAATGTACAAAGAAAACGAAAACAGCCACGCTGAGATTCGATCGCCTCAGGCGCGAGAAGTCAGCTCCCAGTCCACTGGGCCACGCTGCCACTGGTCCCAAGAACTTTGTCCGTGATTGTAGCTAATTAAGTCTTTAATATGCCCTAAGTGTATGTGTTTATTTTAGACGCCGAGAGAAAGCTTGCTTTCGTGGGTAAGATTGGCTATGACATTTTTGGGAATAACGCTCTGTTCACTCCCCTTGTGAAGTGGGAAACACTTCAGAATTACGTGAATGGAATCAAAGATGCAGCTGAAATTTATGAAAACGCATTCAATGATGTTCTACAGCAAGTAACGGATAATGAGAATTTCGAGCAAGTAAGTGACATAAAAAATAATAACAAAATAAACATCGCTTTATGTAAGGAATCCGGAAATGTTTTGCTTGTGGAATCCGGAATCCGGGGATTTTGAATCCAGAATAGAGTTTAAGGAATCCGGATGCTCGAACGATTGCAATCCGGAATCCAAGTTTTACTAACTAAGAATCTGGAATCCAGTACCTGAAATCCGGAATTCATGGCGTGGAATCCGGAATTCAAGACTGTCTTGAATTACCTTAGATGGGGCGATTAAACACCAGTCTTTCTTTAGTTTTCCGGCTGTTTATGGGCAGTTGTGTTAAATTAAAGCGAGCTAGTAGAAATATTGGCATAATAAGATCTCGAAAGATCGATCAAAAATCTGATAGCGAAAAACAGCGTGAGGAAATGTAAAAAGGCTTTACCAAATAAATGTTTTATTTCAGATAGCGACTATAATGTCTGACTCAGCATCTGCTCAGGTTAATGCACAAAAGCGACGACTTATTGCGGCGAGGGCAATAGACGAAAGTGAGAAAAGGATGTACGTTCAGGTACTATCACAAGGACAAATTCTATCTTACCAATAGTTCAGTTTTTTCGATAACCCGGAGGGGTTCTCCATATAATGACTTATACGGAGAGACCCCGCCCGTAAGGGGCACCTCTCTCAGGCTTCAAGTATATGAAAGGGTTCGGATTTCACTAGTTAAAGTATATGAAAGGGGAGGGGAAATCTGTCACTTAGGTCTGTAAACAGGCCCAACAGGGCTAAGAGATGCATTTTATGGCGAAAACCTTTTAATTGGAAAGGTTCGATTTGCCATTTCATTTTTATTCGTTGGTACTGTTTTATACAGGCCATTCTAGAAGCAGACCGACAGATGAACTATACACTCCAAAGAATTCTGAAGTCGATTAGGGAAGCTCAAGCAGCAGAAAGTGCCAAATTAAGCAAACAACAGATGGTTGCTGTACTTCAAGGAGTCACAGGATTTTCATCAGCGATATTTACAAGCAAAACATCGGAAGAACCACAGGGTCCATTCGCTTACATCGAAACAGCACTCGTAATTATAGATTATGATACCAACAAACAATGCCGAGTAGCACTTGATTCAGTAGTTAAAAGTGCCGAGAAATGGTTAACGTTTGGGCAATATAGGCCACTAGAAGATTCCAGTGATCTGAACTTTGATCTCATAGATGTCAGTTCAGTTACCGACATTATGCAGGTATGGTTCATGGTTTTAAATTCATTCGGTAGATTATTGTTATAAGTTTGTTCCATTGTCACTGTTATATTATTCTTCATTTTCACTTCCATTTTCATTTTCATTGTCACTGTCACCGTGACGCACATGGTCTTCGAGCAAGTTCTCTGGGGTGCTCTGGAGGCGGGGCGGGAAAAGGAAAGAGAGCTTGCAAGTACGTCTCTGGAATTTGACTATCTGTATTTAAAAAAGTCGATGCGAGATGTTGATTGGCGGAGATGACATTAGTGGTGATTTCATTAACCTTGGCACGTGGTTTTTAATGTCCGTTTACATTCGCGCTCGTTTCTGCTTCGCGTTGACTGGCGGAAATCTGACAGTTCAGTCGACGGGGAGCCACAGGGGAATTGGAGATGGAATTCAAATTCAAGAGGCATAGTTGCAAGCTCTCCTTTCTTTTTTTCTGCTCCGTCGCCGCCAGAGCGCCCTGGAGAGCTTGCTTGCAGGCTATGACGCACAACAAACCTGCCAAGTTTCATTGCAGCAGCGTTAATAATTGTATCCAACTCAAATAGGGCCAGGCAAAATAGGATTAATGACCCATTCGACCTATCGTACGTGCTGTTCTTGGACATTTTTTTATTTTTATCTTTTAAAGGCCAACCTAGAGATAAACAAGGAGGAGTTTGCAGCTGACCTTGTATGCCTGTTGGAAGAGGGTACGCCCCGTAACGTGGCACAACTGAAAGCGGAAATTGAGAGTTATTTTGTTTTAGGAGCAGCTCGTATTGATATGATAGCCAAAGTTATGGACCTTGACAATTCCATTGGAGGACACAATTTTGATATCCCACTCCTTCATCAGACTGAAATGGCTATTTCTGAGTTTAGCCAACCAGAAGGTATGAGATTAAAAATGATCAATTTCTAGTTACGAATAAATTGATCACAGTGCTATATTTTTTCAAGTCAACCGACTGATAGTTATGCATTCGTATTGAATTGCAATTGAGTGGAACCTCGATATAACGACCCCCTCTATAGCGAAGTCCTCGGTATAACAAACGACGTCCTTTACCCTAGTAATAGTAAAATATGTAAAAAAAACCTAAATATAACGAAACCTCTTTATTTCGAGCAAATTTAACCAATCCCTTGGCCCTCAACTATGTCGAGGTTTCACCGTGAAAATAATAATAACAATAATATTAATAATAATGATAATAATAATAATGATGATGATGATTATGATCTTTAAGTTGATAACGATAATGATAATAATAGTAATAATGATAATTTTATTCAACTTTAAAAAATATGTACTTAATTTACAGAAATATTTGGAGTAAGAATTAAGCACTATATAACAAGGATAGTATAAACAATAAAAATAGCAATCACTGTGTCAATAACGATTTCACAAATACATTTCTTGCGGCTCAAATGCGGTCACTTAACTCTTGCAGGCGGTCCAGAGTTTTAAATTAAGTCATTATTACCAATCTGTCTCTGATATTAAAAAGAAAACAATAATAATAATAATAATGATAATAATGATGATGATGATGATGATGATGATGATGATGATGATGATAACGATAACGATAATGACAAGGACAAATGGCAGTAGTAGAAGTGGTGACAGTGATCATGATTCATAAGAAGAAGAAGAAAACGAAATAGACAAAATTATGCTTACTTATCTTTCTTGACGAAGGGTTTTAAGCTGTATTTTTGCGTATGGACTTTAGTACAGTATACCCGTTGTATACAAAGACTGGGAAGGAAAAACTGCCCACCTACCCCTCCCCTAACCCTACGTTTTGCCCCAAGTGAGACGGAAATGATAACGCGGAGTTAGGGGAGGGGTGGGTGGGCAGTTCCACAGAAAGCTTAACTGATCCAAAATCAAATTAAGTTTGCAAATTTACCCACCAACCTCGTTGATAAAACGTAATCTTTGCATTCTCCCTGATCACTTAAAGACATAAAATTTCGTGACCAGTGCTTTTTCAAAACATCGAAGACACGTAAGAGTTATTGTTTGTTCTGATGTGACGATGTAAAGGTAGGCAGGAAATTCCAGTGGCAAAATCCTGACCACATTTCGTTTTGTCGTTGAATAGAAGCCATAACTGAATCTCCGTCAACATGTTTGGGCCACGAACATGCTATAAAAGGGACTGGTTTTTCTCTAAGGGTCTTTGACTGTTGTAAACTCTCAAATTCAGAGTGGCAGAATGGATTAATAATGGTAAAAGAACTGAGTGAAGTGCAATTTTGTATGAAATCATACGCTTGCAGTTTTAAGATCGAACGAGCACTTAGCGCGAGATAGATTTGAAATCCTTGGAATTTTAGTGTAATTTCAGACCAAATTGCCCGACACGAAGTTCAATTACCAATTTATTACAGTCATTTTGAAATCGCAGAATTCAGTCAGTAGCAATACTGTTAAAACAGTTCTAGAAGCCGCTTTGTTGAAAAGTGGAAACAAAAAGGCTTTACATCTCATTTACATTTCTTATTTGAAACAGAAAAGACAAAAAATGGTGAGATCCAGAACAAAATTAGTGCGATTTAGAGCAGAAATTATGCCATTTAGAACATAAATGATGTGATTTAGAGCAAAATCATTGGGATTTGCGAATAAATCACAACTGCTGAGAGCCAATCAGATAGCAGAAATCATCAGTGATTCCATGGATGGATATACAGTCGACTTCCGATAATTCGAACCTTCAAGGGAAATAGAAAAAAGTTCGAGTTATCAGAAGTTAGAGTCATCGAGGGTAAAATTATATAGGAAATGATCTGAACGGAAATGAAAATTGCTTCGAGTTAACGGGAGGTTCGAGTTATAGAGGGTTGAGTTACCGGGAGTCGATTGTAATAAACATCAAACATTTAGGTCATCGCGTTTTGCTTTAATTACAGAAGCTACCATTAGCAATCAACTCAGACAAACCTTCTTGGAAAACCTGCTTGGGACATACGAGGAACTAGAGCAGTCTTTTATGGAGAATGTATATCAGCTACAGAAGGCCCTTGGCTTCAGTACACTTTGGGTGTTAGATGACGTCATGCGTTCATTTCAGAGGATCGCCTCTGAAAGTGCGTTTGGTACTGGCAGACTTAACGGGGTACTGGAACTCACAAAAGTACTTCAGCAGTTGTCTGATATAACGTTTAAGGCTGAAAAGTGTTTTTCAAGACTACGCTATAGCAAAGGAGTGCAGAAGTGGAGTTTTGATAACGAGACAGACACACAGGTAATTTTCGGTTAGCCCCAGTTCAAATGTCGAACTTTTCATGTACCTAACTTAATAGCTCTTTAGGTCGACCCAAATGATACAAGTCTGACGGTTGACTCAGACGTCGAACTTAATTAGTCGGACTCAATTTATTTTCACGATCGATGTGCATTGGTCTACAATGCTTACCAGTGAAAATAAATTACATAATAGTAATTTATGCATTAGGTTCCACATAACAGTCGAAATTCCTATGTGGGCCACTCGATCTTAATTCATGAGTCGACCCAAATTAGAAACGTCGGACTAAATTGATTCAAATGTCCATCTCGTCATGTACTTAATTGAAGGGATTAGGTTCGGGACATCAAAAGTTCGACGTTTGAACTGGTCCTATTTGGAATGGAGATTAACCAGGGGTACATACATACAAAAGCTGTATTTATTCATATGTATTTATTTATATGTACAAATAAGGTAATTATGCTCTTCCATCAACAAATAAAATAGTGCTGAAAATTACAGAGCTTTAATCTGAAAAATATAATTGAATGGATTTATTCCTTACTCTAAATAAATTGGTAGACTTCTCCTAGAATTAAAGCTTTTTCAGGGTATTGTTAATTTTACCGTTCGTGGTAAAACTTTACTGCCACAGTGTTCTTCTTTACTTGAATTTACTTAATTTTCAGGAGATTAATTGTCTGTTTTCACAATTTCTATTACCTACCTTTCAGATGTTTGAAGAGATTAAAAATGGGTCCACAAGATTCAGTATAGAGGAGGATCAAATTTGTGAAACATGCCACAATGCGAGAATGATAAAGGTGTTTATCCATTATTAAACTAATTTACACATTTTGTTGAGGTTGTTTTTGATTGTTGTTTCTTTATCTATGTGTTTTTTCAGTAGAACGAATATTTCTTTCTTTTTATACCTAAACAGCGCAAGCAACGTAGTAACAATCATCACAGGTATCACCCAATGTAAAGGAATCCGGATTCCGGAATCCGGGAAATTTGTGTTTGTGGAATCTGGAATCTGGGAAAATTTTGCTTGTGGAATCAGCAATTCTAGGCTATGGAATCCGGAATCAGCTCAACGAATCCGGAATCCCACTTAATNCTATTTGGAATGGAGATTAACCAGGGGTACATACATACAAAAGCTGTATTTATTCATATGTATTTATTTATATGTACAAATAAGGTAATTATGCTCTTCCATCAACAAATAAAATAGTGCTGAAAATTACAAAGCTTTAATCTGAAAAATATAATTGAATGGATTTATTCCTTACTCTAAATAAATTGGTAGACTTTTTCAGGGTATTGTTAATTTTACCGTTCGTGGTAAAACTTTACTGCCACAGTGTTCTTCTTTACTTGAATTTACTTAATTTTCAGGAGATTAATTTTCTGTTTTCACAATTTCTATTACCTACCTTTCAGATGTTTGAAGAGATTAAAAATGGGTCCACAAGATTCAGTATAGGGGAGGATCAAATTTGTGAAACATGCCACAATGCGAGAATGATAAAGGTGTTTATCCATTATTAAACTAATTTACACATTTTGTTGAGGTTGTTTTTGATTGTTGTTTCTTTATCTATGTGTTTTTTCAGTAGAACGAATATTTCTTTCTTTTTATACCTAAACAGCGCAAGCAACGTAGTAACAATCATCACAGGTATCACCCAATGTAAAGGAATCCGGATTCCGGAATCCGGGAAATTTGTGTTTGTGGAATCTGGAATCCGGGAAAATTTTGCTTGTGGAATCCGCAATTCTAGGCTATGGAATCCGGAATCAGCTCAACGAATCCGGAATCCCACTTAATCCAGAATCCAAGTTCCACTGACAAACACTGGAATGCAGTACCTGGAATCCGGAATCCACGGCGTGGAATCCACAATCCAAGACTGTGCTGGATTCCTTTACATGGGGCGACAGGAAGAGACCCAACAGTGGTACAAAGGGTGGGGAATAGTCTGGAACACTTTCCCCGTGAGTTTTTGTTGGGTTGCAAGATTTGCAACTATTCAATGTTTAATATTAATTAGCTTGTGACGATGGAGCTTCAGTGTAAATTGGCTGCCATTAATATATGGCATGACCGATGCATGCTTTACTGTAATCATCTGGCATAAAAGGCAGATAATGAAATGAAGTGTAATATAAAACAGTCAAAACAACTAAAAAAAAAACTAAAAAAAATGAACATTCGACATGAAATCTGGATGCAAAGATATTTAGTCTAAATTAAAAAAACACGTAGGCTGTATAATCGACAGTCACAAAGAAAGACACAATGCAAAGAGGGCGGGTTAACAAAGATAGAAAAAAAGCATTTGTCAACGCACTCATTTCCGTTGATTTCCCGTTTTTTTACTTGTGGATTCCGAAAATTAACGATCCAGTTTCAGGTTAAAATTGGCACAGGCGCAGAGCATCAGCCCTGGTTATTTTTGCTTCTTAGTTCATGCATTTTTGAAACTGTTATAAATATTCACTTACAACTGTTTTGTCAAGTCTAATCCCCCTTTCCCCGCCCCCTCCACCCCACTCTTCCGCACTCGAATTGTTACTGAACCTGATAGAGAATTTATGTTTGTGTTTTATAAATTACAAATCTAACCATAAGCTTTTAAATGAGACAAAACAGCGCCCAATGTATATAATGATGATGCCGGGAGAAGAAACAAAAACTAACAAAGAAAACAGAGTTTTATTGTTGCTGTTGTTCAACCTTTTATTTTTCAAACTGATTCAATTTATAGACAGGATAACTTTCATAAAGAGCTACAAAAAGAGTACGGAGTGTTTTCTCTATGAGTCAATAATTGGGTAAATTATCATTATAATTATTATTAATTATTATAATTATTATTATTATTATTATTATTATTATTATTATTATTATTATATAATGATAATAATTTATAAATATGATTTTTGACAGATGTACATAGAGCTCTTTGGCCCCGAGAAACAACCTGAAAGCGTTTGGGACGAGGTCCGTCTCAGAGTCCGCCATCTTAGCCGGGCATATTTTCTTGCCGGTGATAGCCAGATCAAGCAATATCAACAGCCAATAACGAATTTCAGAGACTTCAAATTTGATCGTTTTCAAATCAGTAACGGAACGAAGTGCAGAGAGTATAAAGAGGAACCTGGCAAATGCAGTAAGTAACCAGTAACTATCAAGGTATAGGTCACGTGTTACGCGTCACGTGTACATTATGCTAAGCAGGTTAGCCCTTGCGTTGAGTGGCCATGTTGGAGTTGTGATTAAGTGTTAAGAAAGGAAAACAATAATAGCTAAGTGGTTTTACAGGTGAGTAAAGGTAGTAAATAATAATAATAATAATAATAACAATAATAATAAGTAACACTTACAGATTGTTTTTCGCTTTATCAAGAAAGTTTTTGATGCTTTTGGCTTTCCAGTTTATTAATTACGTCTTCCATGCGTCTTACTAGCGGCGAAAGTAAATGAGCGAGAAACCCCGTAGTTACTGTTTGGGTGCCGCCTGCTTAAAGTTGAAATTTGGCGGAGGAGGGTGATGTACTCTCCCTAGGTCGCTGCATTCACGACCGCCGTAGTAGAGGTTGCTTAAAGCCCCTATTGTCATGCGCGGGGTTACTTCCTCAGCGATGGAGCCGCTGACTTGCTCCCCCAATCTTCTCTCGGCTCCACCGTCAAAAAAAAAGCACTGACCCGCTAATCTCGACGGCTACCCAGGCTAGATCAAGACTTAAAAAAACCAAAATCCTTTTTCAGAGGCTCATTATTGTGTGGACGAAGACGACAAACGGTTTGAACCAATGTGCAGCCACCCATTGAATGGTCCAGGAGTTAATGGCTTGATGATGGGGAAGGACGAATGCACGAGCCCCTCTGGGTTTTACGATTTGGAAATACCTATCAACAAAACTTTGCCATGTACAGACACAAAGATGCGAGACACCAACTGCAAAGACCTGAATGTAAGTTTCAGTTTTACGAGTCTCGCGCTAGTTGCACGAAAGTATCAGGTGAAAGAAAAAAAGTTGTTCTGTTGATGTTAAGTGACGTCTAAATTTCTCCGTGCGGCTTTGTTTGCAAACGCGGCAAACACGAGGATAGTTAATGTTAACGAAATTCGGGTTGAAAATGAGGCCATTTTGAGACTCCGACTCCGACTCCGAAAACGTATATTCTTACTTTTCTCGAAAAAAACAAATTCAGATAACTTATTACTGGCCTAAGAGCTATAACAGAGAAAGAACAAGACCCCTGCCACTCAATGCTCCACGTTTCCTCGAGCACCATGCGCGATCATGGTAAATGAATTCAAAGTGACGTACCTGGATCAATGTAAGTTTCTGGGAAACTACCCACCTACCCCTCCCCTACTTGTTATTATTATCTTATCATTAACATTCTTCTTCTTAATTATTATTATTATTATTATTATTATTATTACTATTATTATTATAGGAGTCGGAGAAGTTTTAAGGAGAATTTGTGGAAAGTGTGTAATGAGTGTTGTTAAGAAGGATGTTGTCAATGCCAGCGGCTCACTCCAGCTGTGTGCTGGACAAAAGTCCGGAAGCGAGGCTGCAATACACGCTATGCATACTATATTTGAATCAGATGACACTGATGCCGTACTTCTCATCGACGCCTCTAATGCATTCAACGCACTCAACAGAGCAGCTGCACTGCACAACATCCGGATTCTGTGTCCTATAATAGCAATTTACGCTATTAATACCTACAGACAGCC